CATCACTTATAAAATGGATCACGACTGAATGAACTTTCTGTAATCATTTCTATAAAATATATATACCTTAAAATTAGAATTATAGTATAGAAGCCTGATAAATTATCCATTTCACTGATATACTTCAATCGAGCATGTCACAAATTGATTTTTTCATTATCAAAGATTAGTACTTAAATAAATAATTAAGAGAACAGAAATTTCAAAGAAATTTGTGCTTTAATTGTGAGTGCATTAAGGAGAGAACATTTCAAAGAAGGTTACTAATGATAAACCGCAAGACTTTCTGAACTGTTAATATGATTGTTACATAATTATTAACAGAAAGCTGGACTGAACTATAATGTTACAAAATCTAATAATAGTGACAACAGACAAGACCATCCATTAAATCATCTGATATGGAATCCCATCTTTGCAGCTCAAACTTATGCCTTCATAAATGAATATGCATTTATTGAAAAAATCAAATAATGTGCTGATTAATTGATCTGCAATAAAGAAATTGAGAATAAAGGCTATCTTTGCCCTAAGTTAATTTGAGCGATATTTTTTGTAGCAATCAATAGATACAGAAAGTAACTACGTTATTCCCACATACTTTGAAGTGATAGAAGGCTAAACAAAGGACAAAGATTAGACATGCTAAGCTGGCATAATAAATATTTAGTAACCAATATTCTCAGTTTAGCAGACAGGATTATAGAAATTTGATTCAAGCGTAATCACAAGTCTAGAATTTAGTAAAAAACAGATTTACCACATCTCCAGTCTATTCATCAGCACATGGTTTTCGACTTACTGACATCAAATGCATGGTGGCTGCTTATAATTGTAAAGCTTGTGTCAGGTCTATTCAAAATAATTGATGGTTGTTTCATGTCTATACCATTTGCAAAATTTATTTTAAATCCCGCTATTATTCAAAGCCTACTTTTAATCAAAGATTCTATTGGGTAAATGAAAAATCTTACTTTTTGGTCTTTTTAAATTAGAATGTAAAATTTAATATATTTAGCATTTTTCATCTATTTCCTCCTGTGTTTTAAACTTTTTAATAGGCTTTGAAGAGGAAATGGTAAATTCAGTAGCTGAAGCAGAACAGGAAAGGCAAAAAAAGTTTAGCACTTTAATATTGATAATTGCTATTCTTGAAGATACAAAAGATAAAATGCTTTGCAAATGACTTGGTTTAATAAAAAGTTGGACAAGGTTAATATTGAACTAATGTCAATCTTTTACATTCCAGAAGAATATAAAATGCATATTGTACCAATTCTAATACCTCCTTTACACCAATTCTTAAGAGAATCGCATGCAGACTTAAAACAATTGATTACATTTCTTACCATCTAAAAAGTATCAAATCAGCTAAGGCACATGCAGTATAAATGATTCTAAATTAGGCTTGAACGAGTGAAGCAAGGAATTTAATTTTATTAAACAATCTTTTATTATTGAGCAATTTTGGTAGCAGACATAAATAAAACTAACTATTCATTAGGTTATTTTTTCTATGTAGAATTATTTAAATTATTGATTTTGAGAAATAAATTCTATTATATTTTTCAATAATAAAATAAAAAATTAAATCTGTTTAAAGAAAGATTTTCTGTCCTCTATAAATTGTTCTATATATTTTAGTTTTAAAGTTTCATTAAAAATGGAAAACTACTAGTTCATGCTGCACTCCCCATTTGAATTTCATTAATGTTTAGAAAATAATTTACTATTTTAATAATTAACTTTGTATGTCTTCTGCATTTCATATTCATATCGGAGGGGCTGGAGTAATGATTGGTGATATGTTATGGAAACTTTATGAAAAAGAATACAATGAAGCAACTTAGAATAATTACATTTATGAAGAAGCTGATGGGAATCACTATCCGTTAGCACTTTTCTTCGATACAGATGACAGAAAGATACATGAAGTCTAAAGGAATAAGTCAATAAAATATAAGAAGCATTCATTTTTACATGGAAAAGAGGACGCATCAACCTATGCTCGAGGTAGGTATAATGATGGAAGAGAAGTTACAGAATAGGCAATAGATTGCATTCGAAAATAAATAGAAACGATGAGTCGATTAGATGAATTTGTGATTACATGTTCAATAAGTGGAGGTACTGGTTCTGGATGCCTTTCATTTTTGTCATAAGTCTTAAATGAGGAATTTAAAAATAAATCAAAATAAAATGGATTTATAATTTTCCCATCTTCAGAAATGTAGAATAATGTCGTTGGACCTTATAACGCTGTGTTCTCGATTTATACTATGACTGAAAATTTTTAGAGTGTAACAATGTTTGACAATTAGTCAATGTACAATGTTATTGATTATCAATTAGAATTAGATTTTGTTGATTATTAACATTTAAATAACATGGTGGCTCAAGTAATTAGTTCATATACTGGATTAAGAAGATTTAACAATTGTGATAACTCCAAGTTTTTGTCAAATTTGTGTCCTCATCCTAATATGCATTATTTAATTCCATCGTATGGCAAAATGACTTTAATAAATGATTACGCTAGAACAGAATTATAGGAAAAATAATTTATTCAATATCTAACTAAAAAGAAGTGTTAACTTTATCAATGTCCTATTAATCCTTATCTATAACTTCAGCATTACTATTTAGATAAAAATAATTGAACCCTTTTTTTGGTTAATATGATTTAACTCTAAACAATTTAGATCATTGCTTTGGCTAAAGTTCAAATATTTTTTAATGTGCAGCATCTAATTATTAAGTATTGCCTGAATTTGCATAGATGAAACTAACTGGATCCTATTTTTCTAATGATGCCTCAATTACTAGTAGATTTAAATAATTAAGAGAGAGCTTTTATAAAATTCGCCAAAAAAGAGCTTTTCATTCGTAGTATCAAGGTGAAGGTCTGGAAGATTCCGAGTTTGATGAAGCACGTGTCGTATTATAACGCTTAGAAGAAGATTATAATTCAGTAAGCTCAATTTATAATTCATAAATTGAGAATTCAAATAATTATGAGTTATGAATTATTATTTTATGATAGCTTGCATTAAATAATTAAGTTGCAAAAAATAATTTCTTATCAATTATTTTTCAATTCCATTATATTTTATATTCTTAATTAGATAAATGGAATTTAAATAGTCATAATTGATAATATGAAAATATTCTTTTCGACTTTTATTCTCTATAGCATATAATAAGGTGAAATCAATAAGTTGCTGAACCAATCAGAACTAATTTTCAATTGTAAGATATTTACGTTTTTTAAATTAATTCCTCACTATAATGAAGTTCGTGGATGCACCAACTTAATTAAAAATTTTATTGCTGGGATGTTAATTATAAATTTGCTTAATCTTGTAATTTTTTATTAATCACCAAAAATATTCCCTTTACTTATTTCCTAATATTCTTCCTATCCTACTTTTAAATTGAGCAATTTTAATTTCAAACAATATTTTTTACTTGCAAATAGCTAGTATACTTGTGAGCCTTTATCATTTGAATGATTTTTGATTTCATCCTCAAACTGATTCATTTGGCCCAATATATTTTAGTAAATTTTTCGAAAATTGGTAAATTTTAAGGATATAAATTAGATTATATCAGAGTTAAATGATACAAAAGTCTTGAAAGGATTCTATATTAAAANAATTAGATTTTGTTGATTATTAACATTTAAATAACATGGTGGCTCAAGTAATTAGTTCATATACTGGATTAAGAAGATTTAACAATTGTGATAACTCCAAGTTTTTGTCAAATTTGTGTCCTCATCCTAATATGCATTATTTAATTCCATCGTATGGCAAAATGACTTTAATAAATGATTACGCTAGAACAGAATTATAGGAAAAATAATTTATTCAATATCTAACTAAAAAGAAGTGTTAACTTTATCAATGTCCTATTAATCCTTATCTATAACTTCAGCATTACTATTTAGATAAAAATAATTGAACCCTTTTTTTGGTTAATATGATTTAACTCTAAACAATTTAGATCATTGCTTTGGCTAAAGTTCAAATATTTTTTAATGTGCAGCATCTAATTATTAAGTATTGCCTGAATTTGCATAGATGAAACTAACTGGATCCTATTTTTCTAATGATGCCTCAATTACTAGTAGATTTAAATAATTAAGAGAGAGCTTTTATAAAATTCGCCAAAAAAGAGCTTTTCATTCGTAGTATCAAGGTGAAGGTCTGGAAGATTCCGAGTTTGATGAAGCACGTGTCGTATTATAACGCTTAGAAGAAGATTATAATTCAGTAAGCTCAATTTATAATTCATAAATTGAGAATTCAAATAATTATGAGTTATGAATTATTATTTTATGATAGCTTGCATTAAATAATTAAGTTGCAAAAAATAATTTCTTATCAATTATTTTTCAATTCCATTATATTTTATATTCTTAATTAGATAAATGGAATTTAAATAGTCATAATTGATAATATGAAAATATTCTTTTCGACTTTTATTCTCTATTGCATATAATAAGGTGAAATCAATAAGTTGCTGAACCAATCAGAACTAATTTTCAATTGTAAGATATTTACGTTTTTTAAATTAATTCCTCACTATAATGAAGTTCGTGGATGCACCAACTTAATTAAAAATTTTATTGCTGGGATGTTAATTATAAATTTGCTTAATCTTGTAATTTTTTATTAATCACCAAAAATATTCCCTTTACTTATTTCCTAATATTCTTCCTATCCTACTTTTAAATTGAGCAATTTTAATTTCAAACAATATTTTTTACTTGCAAATAGCTAGTATACTTGTGAGCCTTTATCATTTGAATGATTTTTGATTTCATCCTCAAACTGATTCATTTGGCCCAATATATTTTAGTAAATTTTTCGAAAATTGGTAAATTTTAAGGATATAAATTAGATTATATCAGAGTTAAATGATACAAAAGTCTTGAAAGGATTCTATATTAAAAAGAAATTGAAATTAAGAATATATTTTTTTTATATATTGGATGATTTAAAAATTTTGGAGAATAATCCCTAACATAATAGAGAAAAAGATAAAGTGTAGTGATTGTAAAATGCTCAGCCACATCACATTTTCTAAGCTAAACTTCATTTTGATATTCTTGTTAATGTAATATTAGATTATAGTAAGTCCATTTCTAGCAAATTATAGGAAATCAGCGACTGCTCAATAATTTATACAAGCGAAATGTATTATATCCAATTTGTCCATAAGTTAGAGTTGTTATTTAAACAAATCAAAAGGCTTGATTCAAATTATTAGGGTGGTGCAAAAGCAGTTTGAGCAGAGAAGTTAATTTAATAAGGATTAGAACTAATTTTAGATAAACTATGGATTTTGAATAATTGTCATAACTTATGAACAAGCCTTATGAGCAGGATTATAATGAGTTACTGTTCTGTATATTCAATCTGCATTAACATAAATTATTATTCGATGTTGAATTCTATGTACTTAGTCCCTAATGATATAATTAATGAATAATCCAGCAAGAAAGGAGAAAACCTGAGGACATAAAATAGCTAAAGTTATACTTATCTGAAATGCCATCTTATTTACTTCTAGATTTATTAATACTGCTGTATGCACTTTACTTTCATTACCAATTTTCATCTGCTATTCTAAATGTAAGATCAAAATAAGTATTCTAAAATATTCTTCTAGTAATGATTATAATGAAATAATATAATAAGATTCTTTACCTAGTTACTTAAGAATTTGCAGATCTTTTAGCCAATCAGAAACTTGTAGTTAGATTTTGGTTAATCATTTTGATTTTACTAATAATTACATGATAACTGTGAGTGATATTGTAGTTCAATCTCTCATAAAGAAGCCTTGATTAAATCTATGCAACAAAAATAAGGTTTTTTTAAGTTTTGCAAGGAAGTTTATTCTAGAATTTTTGTTCTGAATGTATTTATTTTATGAGAATACAGCACTATTTCTATCTAGGTGTAGATTTTTTTTTATAATTAATTAAAATTTGATATAAATTATCCTGTTTGTGTAAATTTTCAATCCTTAAGAAAATGTAATAATAAGTATTTATTGATGATCAGTTTATAAATTGTGGAAAAATTGATTTAGATTGAAGCAATCAAATTTGAACTAATAATATAAATTATCCTATAAATGTAACCAGTAGAGGAGGTGTTGTATTTGCAGGCATTATAATTTTTTCACTTAATAAGAGTTCTCTTGAATAGTTAAATTATTCTTAGGCCTAATTTGTAGATTAAACATTAAATCTCTAAAAATTGTTAAAACAAGGTTATAAATGATTTGAGAAATAAAAAAAGAAGATTTGAAATGTTAGGATAACAATATTATATTAAATCAAAATGTCCTCTCTACAATAAATATTAGTAAATATGCAAATTTTAAAAATATAGTTTGGGTTTTAAGCATTAGTTGTAAATTTATCTTCCTTTGCATTACTTCAAATTATTTTGTATACTTCCATTATTTATAAAAGTCTTAAAAAAGAATCATAAATATAGAATCAAAGAATTCACATACATTTAATTCTATTAGCCCTTAAAATGTACAAATATTGGCGATCTATTTGTCCTTTCAATTGTTATTTGTTAATTGGTTTAAATGAAATAAGGATTCTATTTTATATCTAATATAAGAAGTATAAGAGAATTGTTTCTTCACATTAAAATTCTTATCTTTCCCTACTTTCTTTCCTTTATATTAAATTATTCTAATCCACTTAATACATTTTGCAGTACTGATTCAATTTTTTACTAATAATTATTTAGTAAAAATGATTTGATTTCCCCTTCACAGCAATTACCCAATATTCCTATTGATTATCATTTAACTAAAACCTTCTTCAATAATGTAAATATGAACTCTTTTCCTTTCACAGATGTTAAAGTTTAATAAACTGATTTAGAAGAATGAATAATTTAGTAAATCCGGATTTAATTATCTGCAATTTAAAACTTCAGCTTTGCTAAGGTATTTCACCCTTAAATTTTATCCAACTACCATAGTTATTTTACAATTAAAATTAACTCAAATCATTAAATAACCTTTTGCAAACCAGTAATCAATAACATTTTGTTTGGAAATAAAAATAATTTATTTAAGGAGTTGAGAAAAAAGAACCTTTTTAAAAATGAAAAATTTAAAGCAATAAACCCCACTCTCTCTATATATCATAAATTCTAAATTCACATTACTCTAGAATTTTATTAATCAATATTTAATATCGCATTAAGAGCTGTTAATTGAGATGTTATGAACATGTATTTCAAAAGTATAAATTAAATTTATTAAGGTTGAGAAACAAAAGAGTTAAACCATTAACTTAATTTCAAATCTCTTTTTGTTTTGATTGTTATGTCTGGATACTAAATTGAGATCAACTTGTTAGAGAATGGTCTGATGTATAGTTGTCTCTGAAATAGCATAAGTTTGTTGCAAGTTATAAAAATCATGGTCTATAAGTAATTAATTGTTATATAAGATTTACTATTTTAGAAATAAGTTTAAAGATTTATAGGAAAATGGGTTATTTGAAGGTTGCTAAAGTGTTAATTACAGAATAGATTATGATTTTTATAATACCTTGAATTAAAGAAAGATGTTTAAAATTCATTAGAAGGTACTAAGAGACAATGAATATGTATTCTTTCAAAATTGAAAAAAGCAGCTAAGAAACAAAAGATTAGGAGGCATTCAATAATAAGACGAGCAAAATCTTCTATGAAATTTCAAAAAAAATGTATTATAATACATTTTTATTGATGGACTTGGTATTAATAATAATAAATTATTATTTAAAATTATTATTATTTCAAATGAGTTTTCCTTGAATAAATAAATAATGTCAATTCATACAATAAATAATTATTACAATATCTTAATCTGAATTGAACAATAAGATCCCAATCATCGTAATGGCACATCCATTCTTCATTTATTATAAAGTCTTAAACGGATGATCATAGAATAAAATACTAAGTATTAATACTAAACTTGTTTCATTTTTCTGAGTAAAATAAAAGAATGGAATATAAGTAAATGTGCATTGTCAAAATACTGCAATTAATCTCATCAATTTGTTTCCCTTGCAAATTACTTGTTTTCAAGTGAAACCTATTGGAAAATAGTACTTTGAAAAGCTGTAAAAATGAAGTCTATCCAATTATATTGATATTTGAACAAAGTAAAAGATCTCCAAACATTTTTACTATTTAAATTTACTAAGAAACAGATGTAATGCAACAGTTTTTATTGTGTTGTAATTATAGTCCAAATTTGAAAAAATTTATTTTTACAAGAATATAATCTTATTCATAACCTTTCATTGTATAATCTATTCATAGATAGAAGAGTCACATTTCAGATAAAAAAATACATGAATAATAAATAGAAGGGGCATTAAAAACTCCTCTCAAGTATTTTTGTTTCCCTAAGAATTTATATTGTTATCAAAAAAATGTACTATTGAAACAATTTCACACTCTTGCTGGCCAAATCAAAAATTGGGAGGATTTTATTTATCCTTCAATCATCAAGTCTGTCATACACTTTCCTGGTTGTTGTTCAATTGAAACTAAGTTCAACAATACATTTTGATGGTGCGTTTTCCAAATGAGGTCAGACATTCAAATAACAGGATATGAGGTGGTGTTGGTCTCCAGGAGTCGAATTCTAATCTTAGGATTATAGTTAACAATAGAATATTGTTAGTTAGAAAGGCAAAAGAAAAAGAATTGAGCTAATGATCCAATATTATACATCAGTTACATAATTCAAGTAGTTCTCTAGATTATTTTGGGCCTTTGAGGTTTCAAAAAAAGCAAAAGATTTAAAAAAAAGGACTTATTCCATCTTGAAAATTTAATAATTCATCATTTTGATAGTAATAATCAAATAATGAAATTTATCAAGCTTGAACCATTTAAGGATTTTATGTTTCCAAATATACTCACAAGTCATCACCTTTAATAATAAGTTCTGGCACACATGACTTCATTTCAGAAAAATATTCATTTCAGAAAAATATTGATTGGTACTACCCAAAGGGCTTTACCTGAGGCCTTCAACATAAAATCTAATATTGAATTAGCTATCCAAATTAACAAGGGCACTTACCAACAGCCTAGAAGGACTCATCAATATATTCTTCACTCGGGAGATTGGACCTGTTACAGAAATGTAGAAAAGCCAACTGAAGCCCGATGATGTGATAAAAAGTGTAATCCCAGCCCTAAGATCCCGCAATGAACTCTGTTTAGGGGAATTTGGTTAGAGGATAAAGGGATAGATTACAATGACCAGAGAGAGATCGATA